GAGAAATCTTTGGAAAGCTGCAGCCACGTATGTCTCATTTGAAGTATTTTGCTATCAAATTGCGCTTTCTTTGTGGCTGTCGCTGATTCTTTGTTGAAGGCAACGTCCAGGCAAATCTGGACCTATGGGGGGTGTCACGTACAAAGTAATCTTGAGGCCTTAAATAAGACTCTGCCCAAGCGACAGCTCAAATAATGCGCCCACGGCTAAAATAGCCTCCAATCTGGACTACGGAATCGTACTCGCATGGATTCATGGCTCGACACATTAGTTTCGCGCGAAGACCCATGCGAAACTTGCGCCGAGCCATGAATCCATGCGCGTACGATTCCGCAGTCCAGATGGGAAGCCAACTTAGCCATGGTGCACAGCTGAGCTGTCGCTTGGGCAGAGTCTTATCTAGAGAATCAAGATTACTTTGTACGTGACAGCCCATAGGTCCAGATTCGCCTGGACGCTGCCTTTCCTGCCTTCAAAGAATGAATGAGTCGAGGTTTTGATATTATTGTTATTCAAGACCAAATCGAGTAGTTTTCAAGCTTGTGTATAGAGCTTCGCCAGATTGTGAAAACCTTACTGATTGCGGTGCTCATGCAGGACGCTACAAGGCCCTACTCAAACAAGCTGATCAGCCATAAATCCCAAATTCGCTTACAATGATTGCAACTTAACGAAGACAAATAGCGTTAGAGAGCTAAAATAAAACTGAGGGATTCTTGCTGGCGTATTACACGATCAGTGGCCGCAAACTCACCGACCTTCACTAGCAAACGCATCCGTGTACCAGTGAAAGTAAATTCCTTGAATTCTAACATGGAAGCGTCCTTGACAGTATTGTTTAGATTGTGTCAAAGGACTGATCTGCAAAGCTTCAAAGAATTCGTTGAAATGGCTACGTCGCTCTACTACTTTTGGACCCTAAACCGTGACTACCAGAATTTGGTGAGTCGTTCGATAATGCATTGCCGTTCCACATCGTGAGATTATAGGAATTCCCGACATCGGCACTTTCGAGTGCGTTACAGCTGATGAGAAGCGAAAGTTCAGAGAAGGGTGTAGAGCTTGCTAATTCTATTCTTTGTTATGTCAACGATGACCGCATGCGCCTCGAGGAGAGTAGCAACGATAGCGCAGTAAATGCCTAGTTTTTTTTGATTTTCAACCTTTCAGAACTTCTAGCATTTGTACATAAGTGTGTTCTTGTTTTGTTTCATGCATTCGTTTCTGATCACAGGGAGATTCATGATACACCCAGTCGGTTATCTTTTATCTATCTCATCTCCTTTTTATACTTCTCGCTACCTCTCTTCCTTCTAGCCTCTTT